ACAGTGGATCTCCTAGGGAGCCACACGACAGTGGATCTCCTAGGGAGATGCCTGTCTTAGTGACTAACAATCTCTTTTCAGTTTTGATTTCATTGAGTTAGTTCAGAGGAGAATTTGTATTTCCTCTAAATTGTTTAAATTTTCTGGCATGTCCATGGTATCTGTTATACAAGTGAACCAAGGTCTTTCCCTGTCTTGTTTTCTCTCAGAACCCCGTTCTCCCAAGGGGATAGGAACCTTTCCGTGAGTTCCCAGCCGCCTTGTGGTTCCTGTCACCATGGTGTAGTATAATTAGCTACTGTCTTGTTTGTTTGGTCCAAACTATGAAGTCCTTGAGTTGGGATGATGTATTTTGTCTATCTATGGAACCCTAGAGGAAGGCTGATGTACGTACGTATCTCTCATACCCAGCTTCCTCCCATCAGTAAATAACTGTGCACCCCATGGTTGATCAGGGAAACATGGCAGTGTACTCTAAATGAGTATTCTAAAATCAGGATAGTGTGGGATTTCTAGTGATCCCCCTGCGGGGAGTTCCACAAAGTGAGGTACCAGCAACTGTATCTGCTTTATTGGACTAGAGGGGAACTTTTCTGAAAGCGCCTCTCTTGAAGCCTCTGGTCCTTTTAACTCTATCTGCCCCCCTCTGTTCATCATCCTGGAAATATGCTGCCCCACACGCCCCTGGGGTGGTCTGTGCTGGTCTTTATGTTTCTATTCCTCTTTCTCAAGCAGCCTGTGATTCTCTGGCTGATACCGTGTTCAACACCGTGTGGACCCTGGGCTGCCGACCCTTTATGAACAGTCAGCGTGCAGCCTGCATCTGTGCAGAGGAGGAGAAAGAAGAGTTATGAAGCGGAGACGACTCTTCCAGGCTTTGAAGCGCATCGGGGCTGTTTCAGTGACCGTGTGGTACAAGGGCCATCCTTTCTTCCAATCCTCCGGAGATCACAAGCTGGAGAAGGGAACAAGCAGGCCTTGTCCTTTGAGGAAAGTTAAGAAAAAGACACAGAGTCTGAAGAGTGTTCGCTATAACACTGGTCTCCCTGGTCAAGAACCACGTGCCTGGAAATTTAGTTCTTATTTGAAAGACAGCTACAAATAGACCCCGCTATTCCTAGACCCGGTCATGACAGTCATAAGCAAAATCTGGGGGAGACCAAACATTTGGGAGATGATGACTTTTTTTCTGGCTCATATTTCAGTTGCCAGTTGCCACCTTACATTTAATAAAGTGTACTTTTTAGAAAACTCTAAGAGAGATGAATGAATTCCATTCTCATCTATAGTCCTATCTCACTTAATGAGGACGGAATCCAGGCCGGTAAGTTCTGCCCATGAGGATTTCTCACTGGGGAGCAGAGGCTTGTCTGATGAAGGTCGGATGGAATCAGGGCCCTGAGATTCCATGTCTCCCTCCAGCAGCCTGCCCCCATGGGTATGCTCCGACTTCAAGCCCTGTGAGAGTCGTTTTCTGATCTGAGATGTGCCTGGTTAGGGGTAGGAGATAGACTTGCAACTAACAGGGAGTGACAGGCCATTCCCTCAACTGTGACTCTCAGCACTGACTGTGGACTCTTTAAATGAGGCCAGTCAAGACTGTGGGCTGTGCCCGGGTCACTTCCGATGCTCTGCCGGTGTTCTGTTGCCACAAGAAGGCCACAGATGTAGATTATAATTAGCCAACAAAGTCACACAGACCAGATTCAGTCCAAGGTCCCCAGTTTTGTGCAGCCTTTCTGAACACAGCACACTCACTTTTATATTTGTATCTATGTGTTTAAAGTTGCTCTCACCCTGTCACCTCGGGGTGGGGGGGGAGGGAGGGAGAGAGAGAGAGAGAGAGAGAGAGAGAGAGAGAGAGAGAGATTATGACAAAGACCAAAAGGCGCCCCAAGTCTAAAACAGTTACCTTTGACTATTTATGGAGAGACATTGTTGATTTCTGACCCCAAATTCCCACTCCTTCTTTTCCCCTTCCTAATTTCATTAAATTTAACCAGAATTGTCCATCATCCCACACGGCAATTAAATAGAAAAAAAACAAAGAAACCAAACAAAACTTAAAACCAAACTGTTTGTTGCAGCCATTTTGAGAAGGAAAAGGAGATCTCAGTTGGTCACGTGTAAAGTCGGGAGTTCACTGGAGTGTCAAGGAGCTGAATTCCACTGCTGATAACATTTTTCTTTATAGTTTATGATATTTATTTCAATAAAATTTATTGAGCACCTGCAAAGTAAGAGTTTGATATAATTGTATACCTTACCCTATTGTCTTACCTAACCGAGGACACAGAATACTAATAAGCAAACATTTAGTTTGCTTGTAATAGAGCCATTGACCTACTTACGTGCATTCTGATCATTTAAAAAATTCACTTATTTTACTTACATGTATGGGTGTTTTGCCTACATGTATGTTTACGCAGCATATGCATGTCTGATACCTGGGGGGGGGGTTCAGAAGTAGTCATTGGATCCCTGGAACCAGAGTTACAGACAGTTGTGAGCCACCATGGGAGTGCTGGGAATCGAACCCGGGTCCTCTGCAAGAGCAGACAATACTCTTAAGCACCTTATGGGTGTATTTTTAGGTGAAAACATTTCACTCAAGGCAATATGAATACACCAAAAATTATTTTGCAACATTCAACCTATTGCGTTTTCTCTGACACGTTATTTTTATTGATAAACTTTCAAATCTTCTTTAAATACTCTATACTGGAGTTGAGATTTTAGGTCACAATTATTAGATATTTAGGAGATCATGGGTTATACTCTTAGTAATTTATTATTTTAGGGTTTTGGCTTGGACTGTCATTTCCAGCTCCTCATGTTAGTGGCCCTGTTACACCATAAACGAGGTATTTCATTGTAAGAAAGGAACGGAGGAAACTAGGGAAGTGTCCTTCCCTGAGGACAAATGCAGTGCTTTGAATCCAGAAGCTGAGGCCCCACCTAGGCCACACAGGCCAGCAGTGGTCTGATTTGGACCAACCCAGGAACAAAACCAGCCAGTCAGTCCTTTCATGGGGTGGGCTTGTCTAAGCTCACAGTACACGATTTAAAGAAGCCAGGTGCCTTAGGAGGTTCTAGGATGTTCTCCGAGGACACAGGAAGTCGTTCTAGAGAGGATGACTGGAAGTAAGGGAGCAGGAACTAGTCCTCCCAGTCGATGGTGATGGGGCCGCCTGTCAGCGTCTGGCTCTGCAGCCCGGCAGAGTCCTCGTCTTCACCCACCTCACGACGCACGCGCCGGTGGCAGCCCTGGGCACAGCGGGACCGCTCATCCAGCATCCCACACACAAGGACCCGGCAGTGCAGAAATACCTCCTGCAGGGGTAAGGACAGTAAAATAGTCAACTGCCACGGTAGACAGCAGCAGAGAGCCACACACCTTACCAACTAGAGGCAACAATGACAATCTTGTATTTATGGGCAGGAAACCGAGACTTAGGATAAGGAAATTGCCCAGTTCACACATTTCAAATGTGGCCACGTGGATCAGAGTCACGTGGGCGACCTCAAAACCTAGCCCCATAACTTTGATACGTCCTGTGCCTTAGCGTTTCAGTCCTCTAGACTGGGAAGAGCACTGGGGCCCAGCAGGATCTGCTAGGCCAGGATCAGTTACTCAGCTGGAGTTCTGGAATAACAAAATGGCTGGAAAGGTCACTTAGAGGCACTGTGGGAAAGAAGGCTGTTACTATTCTGTCTATCCACCTCCACAGTTACCTGGCAACAACCAGGTATGTTCCTCCCCATAGTTACCTGGCAACAGCCAGGTAGGCCTGCCCACTGTAAAAGGGGCTGCTTGCCCCCTCCTCAGTCTCTCTCTCTCTCT